TCTGGTATAGGCTAAGGGTTCCAGGGTCCCAGCGGCACATCCCCACCCAGAAATTCCCAAAGTACCCCCGCCCCGGTCTTCGAACTGGCTGGAACTGGAAATTCGATTATAACACGCTACGTTATGATATCCTAGAACAAAATAACCGTGCACCAGCATGGCGTCTCCATACAAATCTCTATAAATTTGGGTAAAAAATTTCTCCGCATATCACGCATAAGAAAAATTACACCAAAACGGATGTTTCGGTAGGTTTTGTAGCTTTTTGTGGAATTCAGACAATTTAGAGCTAATTTAGAAGTTAGGATTAACTTTTTCTCTGAAATTTGTAAGTTGCTTCATTGAAATTCAATATCAAGTGACGAAAAGGAGTCATTAATAAAGACAGGTAAACGAACGAATCAGGACTTGGAGACCCTTAGCCTTGCGAAAAATCGAGACTCCGAGACTGCTTCGTCTAAAAATCGAGACTGTGAGACGCACATAACTGTTAAAAAACGAGATTGCGAGACCCGTGAAATATGCCTAAAATTTATCGAGACCCCGAGTTTTTGAAGGACCATTCGCCATCCCTCAAAAGCGAATTCGGCGAACAGCTGTGTTGCCTTTTTCGGAAAGTTTGCTTTGCTGTTTCTAAGCAAACCAGGTATTCAAATGAGCAGTAACCTTCCCCTTCCCCTTACAACAATTGGTTTCTGATAGTACGTTAAATCACATGACTTACTGCTGCATTCATACAAGGAATTGATTTCTTGGATATCAATCTGAGTGAAGCCATTTCTCTGACCAAGTACCCTTGCAGGGTCTTTGATCGACCTCAGAGTAGGTTTTCCGTTCTTGGAGAAGCCATCCGTTCCATAATGCATGATGCTGTCATAATCGTATGGAATCTTGAGTGTGTCTACTTTGCCTCTGTCGTACTTGTTGAAGTTGTGTGCCTCGCCTGAACAATGGAAGTATAAGTGACAATTTTTGTTTGATTAACGAACAGCTCGCTTTCAATGGATCTGTGACAAGAATGCAATAACTCTAAGATAACATTACCGGATAAGATATTCTCCCAGAGTACTTCTACGTACTGATTTCTGTCAGGCCGCGACTGCTCGTGCCAGAATCCAATTGCGTGCATTATTTCATGCATGATTGTCCCTTTATGGTTACAACCGTTGCCCAAAGAAACATCCTGACCGTAGTCGACTCTCCAGTATTTTTTCCCAACACTAGACCAGCATCTAGATAAAAAGGTAAAATTACGATTTGTGGAAAAAAAAGAAATATATCTTTCTTCTAAGTGTCTGCTTTAATTTGTTTGTGATGGAGGTTTTCTGCAAACAAAAGTAAGTTTTCC